CTTTGCCATAATTGTAGATTCACGTACAGTTATAAGAAGCATGAAGAGATCCCATGTACCCTTCACCCAATTGCCCCCAAGAGGAATAATGGTAGTTTGGGTTTTTTTAATGTTTTTAATTTTGATATAATTTATGATTCCCATGCAACTTTAAGGAGTAAACCAGAGTTCCCATGCACCCATTGGCCAATTTCCACCAAAGCACTATATGCAAAGCTATATTTCACCATCACCACCAGCATATTGACATAGATATACACAACCATTAACACTAGTTCTTTACCTACTTACTCAAAAAGTAGATGTTTTAATTATCTTACTGAGTGGCTTATATTATACATGCTCTACCTCATGAGCATTTTGTGAAGATGAAATAAGATAAAGTAAATACTAACACCTGCACAATAAGCATCATGCAGTCCTGCTTCAGTACATCTTTGTGGCTGCTGCCACTGTTATCTAGGAAATACAAATATTTAGTTCTAGAAATAAATATATTTTAAATAAAAATAGCTCTTTTTTACAGACAACAGTACAAAACATTAACATCTGGATTTGGAGAAAAAAACAAAATTTGAGAAAATATTTACTCGAGTGAGTCAGTCATCTTTGAAGGAAAAAATTCCTACCACCAGCTTCCTTCCTTGAGGATAAATCCCTAGATGTTGCTTTTGCCAACTATCAAAAGGCAAATTATAGCCATTAAATCAGTTAAGCACTGAGCAGGAACTCTTTAAAAATAGGGACCTCCAAACTCAGCAGGGAACAGAGCATTCTAAGGGATATAGAATGTTTGTTTTTTACCCTAAAACAATTACAGGACTTGAAAAAACGTACTAGCAGTTCACTTTTTCCACCACAGAAGATTAGTTTGGTAAGCTAGATTGGGTCATATATGAAGTCATTAAAAATGGTGTACACATACATTTATAGATATAGGTGTTTTTTTTAATAAATTAGAAGGGGTGGGGGTGGGAAAAATAAGTTAGAAGAGTGGATGCAAAATAGAATTCAAGGTGCTATCTTACTTTTCAATATTGACTATAATAAAAAATATAATGAGTTCATGAGTCATTGTTGGCATATATTATTGCAGTCTTTTAAGAAACTAGTTAAGCAAAAGTTTTGAAACACTATAAAATTTGATTCAGAAATTTTATTAATATATAAGATTTTCCTGGAAAGGTAATTTAGAAATAGGAAAAATGGCATTACTAAGCTATTTACAAATTACAAAATACTCTGAATTTTCTCTTCAATATGAGAATGCCTCTGTAAAATATGATATAAGAAGTTGATAAAAATGCAACATGGCTTTAAATGATACAGTTAGATCAAAATGGGAGATGTATGTTTTAAGAGTAAACTAAAATGCAGGCTCAAAATTTTATTTATATGCTTATTAAAATAAGCAAAGTCTGTAACTATACACACACAAAGATCTCGGAGCTTATATATGAAGACAGTTGCAATTATCAGGGTGAAAGTGGCATTATAGGCTAATTTATTTTTGTTGAGTTTCTTGTTTAATAAAACTAGATTTATTTATCAAAACGATGTAATGAGCAAACTCATCATACACACACACTTGTACACACAGTGGCAGAATATATGCCACTAAAAATGAACTTGAAAGTGTGGAAATAAGTTGAGTGATCAAAAATCACCATCAGGTTACAAGAAAGGAGACTGAGTCCACCACCCGGTCTATTGGCGGCAGGACCAGGAAGCAGTACCTGTGTCTAGCACATTAATTCTCTCAAATGTCTTTTGTGCCCTGAAAAACTCAAAACATGTTTCCTTTACTCTTTCCTGTACTTATAGTTAGAAAAAACACACACACAAATTGAACAATGCAAGGGCCCTGCTTAATACTTAATATCACATCCTAATCCCCATGAAAAGATTACTTAGCCAATCCTCCAAACACCAGCTAGTCACTGGATGCTACTAAAAGAGCATCGAAAGAAAACACATTTTCCCACTTTTGAGTGCGGGATGTTGTCCAAGCTCAAGCACACTCTCCTGAGAAAAGAACCCGTAGGAGGAGGGCCGGGTGCAACAGAAAGGACTACTCATAAGCAAATAAATAAATAAGTAAGTAGCCTTCTCTGACAACTCAAAGACTGTCAGGTTAAAACATTCCCAGAGAGCCTGATCCTTTTGATAAAAACAGGGGCAAAGCTTTGTGCTGCAGCAAATGCAGCTGTGGAATAATCGCACTAATTAGCTGCTCCGGACAAGTAATTGGCTGCGATACTGGGGGGAAAGTGCTTTCAATTAACAGTAAAGCATTCTTGAGACGTCTTAAATTAAGATTACTAGTCATCCTCCACACTGAGCGCCAGACTTTAAATTGATGACAGTGTCATTTTGAGTGTTTTCTTATAATGCTTACATCGCCATCAGGAAAGTAAAAACAAAGAACTTATACAGTGCACTATAAATATACTGAAACCCCACTTTAGAAAATCTGGTAAAGCTCAACCAATTGATATAATGTGTGTGTGTGTGTGTGTGTGTGTGTGTGTGTGTGTCTCGCGCAGAGGAAACGTTTGAATCACTTCACTGTACACATTCGCTCCCTGTGGGATGTTTCTAAAGTGTTAAGAAATGTAAGAAATGACTCCAGGCTCTCAGTTTTGCTCTCAATCTTTTACACATCCTTTTGTCTCTGAAATATTTGCATCTGCAATTATCACCTTAAAGACTACTAATGTTAACAGGGCACATCAGCATAATGTTTTAAACTCAAAATCTAGGTTCATGTGTGAACATGTTTGTGGTAAAAGGTGGTTTTTTATTTTGTTTTGTTTTATTTTTTTAATGATGACTATATGTTGAGGCCAATAAGGATAAACAAGGAGTGTTAATCCACATTTACTGAATTCTGAAAGCTAAAGAAATGCATCCAGGGACCTCAAAGCTCAGTCTTCTCCTAGTTAGATAAGACTAATTCCATGAGTTTGATTAATTTTAATCAGATTATTTAAAGATCATTTATTTAGCAATTATTGAGTGTTTCCTATGTGCTAGGTGCAAGGAATACCTGGTTTATAATCTCAAAGAGCTCACAGATCTGGTCACATAATATTTCTGAAGTACCTTATAATTATCTAGATTATCTCTTATTCTGCTCTGAAATAGATCAAACATGCAAACAAGAGGCATTCCTAAATTACTGGTGATCGGATGCTGTCATTGGAAACTCAGGAGAAGGGTCGGCAACTGGAAAACAGAACCTCAGTGACCAAATCTTGTAGAAACCAAGACATCTTCATCCCAAGTAACGTTTCTCAGCAACATAAACACTGACTGAACACAGAACCTCCTGAGGTTAACTACACAGGAGTCAAACTGACTACATTTGTGGGCAGAAACGATTGCGTAGCTCAAAATGATCAGCCCAATCAAGATCAGGGCAGACTAGGAACAGATCACCATTTGTTCAAATACACTGCCCAGTTGAAGCTGAAGAAATGAAAACAATTCCAGGAGAGCCAACATACAACCTTGGACAGAGCCCACCTGAATCGAGAGCCCACTTCAAAATCAGATTGGAT